GGAGCAGGAGAGGAGAGTCTTACTAAGTCAGTACCTTAGTTCGACTGACGAGAATTAAATTCGGTGACGAGAATTAAATTCGGAGCTCTTTATATACTTGTCTCTGCTTAGCAAAAACGGCTACATGCTGAACCATAGGCGTATTTAAAACGGTGTTACTGGGAACATCGTTACACAATAACTAATTTAATATAATAAAAATTATAAAAAATAGAGAAATATTGATTTTAAAAATACATGCTGTCGGTATGACAATTGCAACAACGAAGATATGGATGATAGCCGAAGTCTTATGTACATAAATGTCAGAAAATGTAAAGAAGTTAGCATTGGCTTCTGTCCTAACCTGCTGGCTAAAAACATCCCAGATCAGTTTCCTAGACCTGCCTCTATGACCTGATGTATTTACCTTTGCTTTAACTTCATTTTCACAAAAGAGTAAGTAATAACCTTAGGTAGGTATTTAAAAAAAGTTATATATTATTATACTATATTTTAACTTAAAAAATTTTGTTTGATTATGTGATTTGGACTTAAATATTTATAACAATGATTGTATAATATCTAGAACTGCAGATAAATAAAATAATGGAAAAATACGTGTGACACTCGGGGACTGTCGCGGTAAAGCTATTGCATAGCATTTTTTATTAACTTATGCAATTATAATTATTTATTTATGCAGTATTTTTTTTCTTTGATATTAATTCAAGTTTTTTCTTTGATATTAATTCAAGTTACACTTTTTAAGCGTGGTGACCGATAAGAAAACAATTTTTTTTCTTTTATTGAATAAATGAGAAGTTAATATTGTTTAAAATATTTTTATTATCTTACAATACATGCAGGTTATTCAGGAATTTTTATCATTGAAACTATAGGTTTATGGTAACTGAAATAAGAAACATAAGTCTGAGACTTGATATCCTCTAAATATCTGGAAAATACCGCGTCAATGGTGGTCCCATATTTTGTTGTGGATTCTTGTGGATCATTATTTATTTTCAAATTCAATTTTTCCGAAATTGTGTCTAAAAGAGATAAAATCAGTTATGAGCAGTTAGCAGCTAGTCTACACGCATACGTCTAGTCGCACGCACACAAACACCGTGCCGAAGTCTGCCGAACTGAAACCACGTTAGACGATGCACGGCTTTCAACGCCGCACCGCTGTGCCGGTCGATTTTTCGATTTTTCGATTTTTCGATTTTTCGATTTTTAGATTTTTCGATTTTTCGATTTTTCGATTTTTCGATTTTTCGAATTTTCGATTTTCCGATTTTTCGATTTTACGATTTTACGATTTTTCGATTTTTTGGATTTTCAAGTTTTCGATTTTTCGATTTTTTGAGGGTGATAAAATCTGTGCAATAGCTTAATAATGAAATTATTAACACTGATAAAATAAAAATTAATATTTACGCCAGCCGGGAACATTTGTGATACCAATTTATTAGAAGCCAGAGAAAGCTCTTCTAGTTCTTGTATTGCATAAACGTTCCAGTCCGTAGACGTATATTTAACTCCGCTTCATACTAATACGTATAGGCTCGGATAAAACCTTCCACGGCTTTCAACGCCGCACCGCTGTGCCGGTCGGAATGGGGTGTGTTAGGTTTATTTTCGTTACGGAATTTCTTGATTCGGTCGCCGCGCTCAAAGCCCGCGATAAAAGCTATGCAATAGCTTAACAGTTGAAAAAAATACTCGTGTTTGCTCATGGGAATTTTAGTTTGAATGATTTAAATTGTATTTGCTCTATTAAATTTTTTGTAAATAATATAACTTTTTCATTTAAAATTTAATCTATGTGTATACTATTTTATATGCCCCGTGACCTTGTTTATATTATAGAAACTTTGCAAAATACGCCTATGGAAAATGACGTTATATACCCACTTTTACTGCACTCCTCTTTTATTAAGAATAGGTAGAATAGATATGAAATATATTCGTTCAGTTGAACGCAGTGGTATACTTTTTCGTTTTATAGTCTATGCATAGATAAGCTAATATTCAAATGAGTGTAAAAAAAACTTGTTTTTTATCAATTTTAAAGTATTTCTAAAAAAAATTAAATTTTAAAATAAATTGTCAGAATATGGAAAAATTTGTTATTATTAGTTTTACAAAAAAAAAAGTTCGCAATAAATAGTCATATATCAATAATTAATTATATCAATAATCAAAAATTTGTGAAGTATTCATTGTTATACAGGGAAAATAAAAAATAATGATTTATACAGAAGCGCAAAATATTTTTTCAATACGAAGTAAAATATTAATTGAAAATGTTTATAAAAATTAAAAAATATGCTGAAGTTTATATCGTTGCACTTATTTTTATGCGATTTTTGACTTATTTTGTTTTAAATAATACAACCAATGCTAGTGTTTTGATGTTTTCTTATTTTACAAACATATTTGATTAATGAATTTGAGTGATGCAGATCTTTTTATAAATAAACCTAACAATTTTTCCATTAGCTGACAACTTTAGGTCAACTTTTAAGTTTTGGATGATTCTAATCGTTTCGTCCCAATTACCCCAGTTTCAGGGACAAATTTGATATATTGACCTTGTTTTAAAAAACATTTAGTACGTGAAATTGATTTAAATTTCACTTTATTTAAATACTGATTTTTTAAATTTATTATTAAAAGGCTTCTTAATTTTATACTGAATAAAATTTGAACTAATCAAAAAGTAAATGACGTTTTTCTACGAACTCTTACAAAAAGACATCTTTCGCCACAGGATACTTTCAGCGAAAACTTGATTTCCGTCACTAGTGAGAAAAAATCTCATAACGTTTACTTTCGTCTCTAGTGACGAAAGTAAGTTGTTACATATTTTCATATATCAGTCGCCTCGTATAATATTTTGGCAGCTTATAATTATTAATAATGAAATAAAAAGATGGCTCATTAAATTCTATATGCGTTTTTACCTAAACTTTAATGAATTAAAGATAAAATAAAAATGTATAAAAATAGTGCAAATTAAACCAATCTACATCTAGTTTCCTGGTTTTCAATTGTTTATTTGAAGTTTTATCACTTTTGAGAACTGTCAGTTTCAGTTCGTCCTAAATTTAACACATTTTCATGATGTCTGAGTCAGAAAGCGATTGTACTCCCCCAGAAATTATTTTTAAAGCTGAAGAAAACTCTTCAGATTTATTACCGGCCAAATCAAAAAAGAGATATGAAGAAATTTATATCAAATTTTTGGACTGGAGAGAAAAAAATAAAGTGAAATCATTTTCAGAAACTGTACTACTAGCATACTTTGGAGAAATAATGTTCAAATTTAAAACCGTCGACGTTATGGTCCATTCATTCGATGCTAAGAACTACACTCTCTGTTAAAAATGATGTTGATATTAGTAAATATCCAAAGTTACGTTCGTTTTTGAAAAGAAAATCTGATGGTTTTAAAAGCCAAAAATCCAAAAATTTTTCGCCTGAAGACATAAAGACTCTCCTAAAAAATGCACCTGACTATAAATATTTAATAACAAAGGTAACGGAATTATTATTTTTATTTTAACAAATACTTAATACATAACTACTAATATTTGTAGGTAGCATTAGTTTTTGGATTATCTGGCGCTTGTCGTTGCCACGAACTAAAAGGTTTAACAATAAGCGATGTAAAGGATACTGGAAGTATTCTGTTAGTTAAAATCCGTAATACAAAAACAAAAGTTCCGCGTTCTTTTCATATTTCTGGACCCTTTTATGATATTTCTAAAAAATATATGAGCCTACGTCCCGCAAACATGGATCAAATTAATTCAAGATTCTTTATTAACTATCAGAATGGAAAGTGTAGCAGACAGGTTGTTGGAATTAATAAAATCAGTAAATTTCCTAACGAAATTGCTCAGTTTTTAACGCTTCCGAATCCTCAAGATTACACTGGGCACTGTTTCCGCAGAACATCCGCAACGCTATTAGTGGATGCAGGAGGTGACTTGCTTCTGTTAAAAAAGCACGATGGTTGGAAATCTAGTAGTGTTGCGGAAGGATATATTGATGAATCCACGAACAGTAAAAACCAAATACAAACCAAAATTTTACAATCTGTACAAAATAAGGAAACTACTAGTTCATCCGATTATGGCGCATCATCATCTGAAATGACATTTAACAGTAGAACAAATATGTCGGCATCTACCTGAATAAATAAAAAGCTTGAGTGTGATACCCCCATAATTTTGAACAATTGTTCAAATATAACAAATCAATATTTAAATAATATTTCTGAAATATTTAATTGTTGGTTAATTTTTTGTTATTCCTAACACAAAATAAAGCATTTGCTAACGTTTGTTTTTTTTTTTTCATTTTAGTAGGTACCTACATGACATAATAGAGTTCGTAGAAAAAGTATAGTCTTTTACTCGTCGAAAATCATTTTTTCGTCACTCGTGAAACAATATACTATTCCTCATCTTAGAAAGTATTATTTTGAAGCGAATAAATTTTTTTATTATTTTTTAATTGCGGATCTGGATTTTAACTTTTATTTATACACTATTCGACACCATGTTGCACAATAATATAATGAATATGAAAAAATATACACCGTATTGTAAAAAAAAGTTAAAAAAGGTTTTATGATATCGTATTTCAAGATTAACAACAAATATTCTGTTTCAAGGTAAAATGAGAATTATTCTAGACAAAATATACTCTACTTAAAAAGAATTGCTCGTGGTTTTCGCTTGCATAACGAAAAATCGATTTCTTACGAAACCAAATTAAATTAGCTTTTCTTTTTAACAATTTAGATACAGCTAAGAAAACTTTTTTAATTAACTAGAAACCAAAGAGGAATAAGTCAAAACTTTCATAACGCGATATTATTATCTACTTAATATAGTATAAAACCAACTGCTATATATTTCCAGATTGATGTATGCTGATTTTTTGTGTTCAATATTTTCTACATTCCAAATCTATTTGGTAATTTGTTTTATCGTTTGTTTCAGATTGCCATTAAGGTAGAAACTCATTCCTGTAGGCATGGTACGAAAAAGAGTAATTTAGAAAAGAATCAAAACCAAAGATGCATTCCTTGTAAGTATATATCAATATTTATTAATTATTCTTACACTTAGAAAAGGGTGTGTGACATATAATAACTGTATAGGCTGCTTAATTGTAGTATGTGATGAAATATATTGACGTAGGTCAAAAATAATGTTCTGGAGAAATGTTAATAATTTTAATACCATAGAAATATGTAGTATAGAAAGCCAATTCCATACAGCAAACCACGATGAATAACATTTTACAGGTGTTTCAACTCTTTTTAAAATATGACACCAAACAATAAAAAATCCACCAGAGGTCGGTAGAAGGTGAGGTACCGCAAATGAAAATAAATAATGACTGCTAACTGCCAGTTAATTTTATCTATATCAAATAAAAAATACGTCTGTATCCATTTTTTTTTAAATTAATGGTAATTAATGTATACTAATCATACTCTATGTAAAAAACGAAATGAAAAGTGAAAACAACGAGAAGAAAAATACTACCACATACTTATAATAATAACCACCCATATAAACTACGCCGCAGATGAAGTGGGACAGCCAAAAAATTGCCTAATTTTGACTAGCTGTAACTTCGACATTTCTTTGCCGATGTTAGATTTTCAGCCAGAGGTGGAAAGCGCCATCCTTGCTGTTTGCGTCAGTGGCATTGTATATATTTTTTTTAATAGCTTCTTGTTGTACAGGGTGTGAATGTAAGGCAGCGAAAAATGTCCGTTTTTTGGCAAAGAATTTGGAAAATGTGGGGGGCCAAATCAAGTTCTTTCTGATGTTGAGTGGATCACTAGGTCGACACCTCGGGATATCTTTGCCATTTTTTTGATACTTTGCGTTGCTATGGAAATATCGCTATTTTATGAAATTCCATATTTCATTTAGAATTAGCCTTTTTTTTAGTTAAAGAATAACAGATACCGACTAAACTGCATCGAGGAATAACGTGTAAAGAAAATGGTCAACACCAGCGGCGTGCAAAAAGGGGTTTATGAAATTTAAAAAACGAAAACTTGATTTTATTTGAAATTCTTAACACTTTTAGTAAGCGTTACAGTTTACCACCACCTGTAGAGGCCTTAACTTGACAGGTCTCCTTTCAAAAATGTTAGGTTAAGTAACACTACTAATTATTTTTAAAAAAACAACAATGTGTTTCAAATAAGCCTTCTCTTTTAATCTGTTTAATGTAGTTGTTTTGTTTTGTATAGTCTTGAAAATTTTAAATTTTTAACTATTTAAACTGACTAATATTTGTTTTTCAAATATTTTTAACTTTCATATAACTTGTAACATTGTTTATTTTACAATTTATTTCATCCCCCACATTTGATGAAACTTGTTTGTAGTATTCCCTAGTGGATGGAGAGTATGGTGAGTTTCCTTTTTTACTATTTTATATATCGTTGGCTCAAAGTTAACACACCTTACACCACATATTCTCCTTTCCACTAGGCGAGCCTGAAGATGAAGTGATGATACTTCGAAACCGGTCGCACTCAATGTTTTACTGAATAATTAAACATTAACTTTCCTTGTGAGATATAAAGGACTTTTTCTCCCCCTTCACCTTAAAATTACCTCAACTCACACATGGCTACCCCCCTTGCCAACAAACATTAATAGGTTAATCACTTTATTACTTTTATATTCATTAGCGGGAAAATTCGCGTCTGTGTGTTATTGTCATATTTTTGGTATTCATTGGTTTATTGTGGGAAAAATTATAGGGTTTCTATATTGTGCTAAATTATGTTATTTAGAGAATCAATAGTGATGTTGTTGTCATAAATATTAATTGTTGTAAAGTCGGTCAATGCTCTCCAGTAATAAATTCAGTCATTTAGATTTATGGCCAAAGGGCCGAATTGTAAAGTTTCGGTTGTCTGTAAGCAATACCTGCCCCTTTCAGTAAAGATAAAAAGCACTTTCGGTTTTACTTTTAAATGGCAAACAGATGTAGATTAGTAGGGTAAATGCCTGGATTTGTATATATTTTAAAGTTAGTTTGCGGTTTAAAAAATATGTTTTCTGTCGTTCTTTGTAAAACACAATTGGGTAGACAAATGTGTCATTTTAGCCGTACGGAATTTTAGTTTTGTGTATCGAATTTTCGGGAAAAAGGAGATATGTACAGTGGCTGGTAGAATCATGAATATTGAGGAGGGTCGTATTTATTTGTACATATCCACATAACTTTAGCGGGACATTACGCGGAAGTAGTCGGTATGTTTGTTATTTATTTAGAATAAATAGGTGAAATTGTGTTTGTGGACTAGCTAACGTATTCTCAGAACTGTGATTAATAACACTGTTTTGTCAATCGACAGAGCAAAAGAGCATCGTGCCAAAAAAGACGCCTTAGGCCACCATAGACCGCCAGGGACCTCAATAGTAAGGGCCTAAAAATGGTATTTCCCTTGCGGCTATGTAAATTAAAGCCTGATAGAGGCTTGGATGGATCTCTACTGAGATATCCCGAAAGTGGGCCTAACGGGCATCCCCCTTTATATCAGGTGTTCTCCGATCGACCGTTTAGTGTTGTCCATACAGGACTGAGTATGTCGGTAAATTACGGCGTTGGAATATTAGAGAAAGGCGTGACGCACAGTGAGGTAAATCTACACTCCGGGTTTTACACATATTAGAAATATTAAATTTAACCGACTTCAAAAAGGAAGAGGTTCTCAATTCGACGCAATATCTCACAACACTCCTCGTGCTACCGCTGTACTCTCTTTTATTAGACAATGCATAATTCAGTAGTTCCGTGGAAACGTGTGATTGTATATTAGGAGACAAACAAACATACCAAAGAACTTCCGACTTTTATTTTACCCTTTTATGGGAACTAAAAGCTCCGAGGTTAGAAATGACACATTAGAAAGCCTACATAAACATAATGTTAAGCCTAAAAATGGCACATAATCTAAATGTTCGGCTGTACAAAAGAATAGATGTTAAATAAACAGTATTCAAAATTAATCTCGGTGTTTCCTTTGTTCTTCCTCCATTACAGCTACATTGAACTCTAAACGAAATTCTGGGGGTTTTAACATCACTTCGTGGGGATCTACTAGACGAAATTTAAGCCAAGGTTATAAGTATTTGCAAAACTAGGTCAGGGTACGGTTTGTCAAGTTACAGTACTACATACAAAAATACCATATTTTGAATACAGGAATCTGTATATATTATAATTAGTAATGGTCATTGTTGAAGAAAAAACATTCCCTTCTTGCAGAGAATAGTCCCCTGTGTAATAAATTGACATAGGACTGTGTTCAGGGGACTAGTATTTTACATAGTAAAGTTCCTAGTACAGAACCATTTAAATTTTTATTAATTATTAGCATCATAAATGATATTGTACAGTTCATCAAATTTCTAGAGGTGTTCGACGCCCAGACAGAGAACGCGCTACGTGTGACTAAGATAGCTATTGTACAGTCTGCTAAACAAGTTATTTTAAATAGTGTTTAATATTTTTAGGTAATTAAATTTTAAAAGTGTGGAATAGTTTAGGGATTAAATTGGTCTGATTGGACTTTCTTAGAACGTTTTTAAAAGCAGCTAAAGATAGTATGTAGAATTGAAAATAATTATTATGCCATAAAAGGTGTTTTGGAATTCCTTCAACCTTTTGAAATTGAGTCAGAAAATATAAATTTTATAGGATAGCGGAAAATACCTATAATTTTTTTGTAGACATTTGTAAATCGTGGAAATAGTTTATATTTTATTTCTACCTTATTAAGGAAAATGGTACCTATTATTAATAACGGTTGTTTCTGAAACATTACTAAAATTTTCGAAATTTTGTTTTTCTACAAAATAATAAACTATACTATTTAGAAAAAAATTTATTTCTCTTATAATTTTATAAAAAATAACAGGGGAATATTTACATTTCTTGATCTATTAAACAAAACGATAAATTATCTCGACGAATGACACCATGTTCTAGTACGGAAGCTAGCTTTACATTTTTGTTGGTGGTTTCATGGGTTTCATATCAATTTTTTGTAATTGTAGTTTACACGTACATATACCTCTTAACACTTGTTTGCTTTATTAAAAAAGTGTGTTGTTGTGATTTACGTCGAAATAAGTCAAAAACAACTTGAAACCCCATATAAAATCAAAAAGGAGAAACGGAAAAAAAATGAGCCTGTAAATGAACACAACTCAGAAACAAAAATAGCTATCTAATAATAAAAAAATAAAATTTGATTCTTGTGCAGCTTCATCTATATCATTAACTGTTTTTGGTTTTTTAATGGTTTTTCTTGATGATGAAAATTCCGATATCTCACGGTTATCGATTATTTTTTTCTCTCCAGAAATGCGGACGACAGTGTTTTTAGATACTCCTGTGGCTGCAGCAACACGATCATTTAATTTTTAAATGATATTGAAGGTGAATTAAAGTTTCCTTCTCTTCTCATAAACTCTATAACATTGGCTATTATTTCGCGAGATTGACTGTTAATCACGCGGCCTCTTAATTTGCTATTAAACTCCATACTTAGGTTCTATTAAACTGTAATGAGCAAAAAACACAAACGAAAATAAAAGAAATGTTTTAGCGAAATTTACATCTGACATTTACGTCTGAATGAAATAGTGAAATACTTGATGCGCAGAGTGTACTTTCATTGCGTAAATCCGTCGGGATGCCTGTCAGTAGTGCTTTCTCTGTCTAGCCGTCGAAAGCCTCTAGAAATTTGATGAACTGTACTAACTGAGTCTTTTTTATATAAAATTATAAAATAAATATAATCACTTAAAATAAAAAAATTCTACTTACCAGAGAACAGTTAGGTATAAGAAATTATCAATGCGCGCTGTTCAACTACATAATATACGGCAGTAACCACAATATATCCCCGTGTAGTAGAATATAATTTTAAGGCGAAATTTAAATTTGAGATAATAAATAATAATATTTCATTCATTATTTATACATTAGTTAAAAGAGACAGGGCCAAGAATGAAGTCGTGTGGAATGTCCACACGATTATT